CGTAGGCTGTAACTCTCCAAACCCTCAGTCCCTTCATCGTGGCCTTTTGGCTTCTTCAGTGGTGGGCCTGGCCACTCTCAAGTCCGAACAAAGTCTGAAGAGAAAACAACTCTCAGAATTCTCAAAACTTTCAGACCCTTTCAAGTCCTTCAGGCTCTGGAGGGGGGCGTTTACGAGCATCACGGGCGGCCACGGTTCCTACAGTTCAGTATACTTTCACATCCCAACATTTTCTTAGCCGTGAAATAGTATCCATCCGCATGAAAACTTATTCTGGATGTCCTCGAGGAATCAAAGAAGTCAGGACAAGTGGTGCCTTTGGGCCTCAGCCCCACAACTATCGCGCTTCCCAAGACTCCCCAAAACTCTCAAGAGTCATTTCATGCCCTTTAAATCTCAAGACTCGTTTCACGTGTCACGTTCCTCGATGGCTTGAGGAGGAGGTTATCGATGGCGACTCTGTGACAGCTCCTCGATTTATATCAAACGAAAAAGAAACAAATTTCAAACAAAACACCTTCAAACACTACACCTTCTTCTGAAGCAGCCGTACCCACTGCTCCTGCTAAGTTCAGCTGAGTAGAGCTGGGTCGTGGACGCACTCCTGAAGAATATATGTGGACTCCTGAAGAATATATGTGGACCCCTGAACTACATGAACTCTCGCAATCTCTCCTCTCTTCAAAACTCTCTCAACGCCTGAACGTTTCGGCCCTGCCCCAGGTGGTGCCCAGCTGGTGCCTGTACGTGCTCGATCAGGGGGCGAACACGGGCAACTCTCGAGAACTCTCCTTAAGTCCCATACTCTCCAAACATACCTGGAATCGCCTAGCTCCCAGGATCCGCATCCGAATTTATGTAGTTGGCCCATGCGTCGATCTCTAGAATGCATGTATAGTGTTGCTTGCGAACATCTCGTGAGGCCAAAGAATCGAAACATCAGATTGCTTGACTTTTTGGGACGCCAAACTGGAGATCGAGAGAGTTCAACTTGTCGCAGAGGGAATTGAGTTATAGGACCCATTCAGGATGCGAACGCTCGCAACTCCCCAGCACTCTCATAAACTCTCATACCCTCCAAACACTTTCCCTCCAAACCCAGGACTCT